GCACTCGCCTGTCCGCCTTCCTACTGGTAAATGATTGGTCAGTGCACTCGCCTGTCCGCCTTCCTACTGGTTAATGATTGGTCAGTGCACTCGCCTGTCCGCCTTCCTACTGGTTAATGATTGGTCAGTGCACTCGCCTGTCCACAGCGGAGCAGCAGCACTTTGGCTTTTCGGTATTTTGGCGAGAGGTTCCGTGATCTTCAGCTCTTATACCATGCGGCTGCCACCTTCTCATGTGAGAACTCCTCGCTGACAAGCCCAGAAAAAAAAAAAAATTGCACCAATTTAAAAGCTAATCTGGGTAAAATTCTCTGTGAATGTGTTTGTAAAATAGTATAATTATCTTATTAGATTTTGTGGGACACTGCATCCATGGGGGGAAACTAAGAGTTAACTTGGAAATCTTTCTGAATTATAAAGCAGTATTTTTTCACTTTTTTTTTTTTTGCTTTGGGTCCTGGTTTTGTTTGCAGTGTGAGAATTAAACCCGTGTTGTCTCTTGCAAATTAGCCTGTGGAGAGTCAGATAGGGGCCCTTTCTGGTGTTTCAGGAAGTGCAGTGCTGTCTTACCGCCTTCTGGCACTTCTGTGTCCGCTGACGTGGAAACCTTGTCGGACGAGATTGCGCGAGAAGGGTGTGTGTGCGCGCGTGCGTGTGCACCTGTGCTAGTGTGTGTAATGCGTCTGAAGTTTCCGCCTGCCGTCTAGCCCCAGGGATGTAGGCCACGCCTGTTGCCGTCCTCACCTGTCCTATATCTGTCGTGTTCCCGCCCCCAACCCGGAGTTCAGGAAGTGCTATTCCCTCTGAGTCTCCTTCGCCGGGTGACTGTGCTGCGCGTGTGAGTGCGTCTGCCTGCCTCCATATGTGCGTACGAGGAGGACTGGGAGCACTGGGATCCCCGGATCAGCTGGCGTCATTCTTCTCGGCCCCGTCGTGTCCAGAAGTAATCAGGAGGACCAGGAGTTTTCCCCTGGAGCTGTTGCTTTGGAAACATGGGATTGCTAACGAAGTTTCTCCTGGAGACGCGGCGAGTATCTCCCCCCGATGGCGTGGTTTAGTTCTGCGCTTTGTCGACTTTGCAGTTTTACGTGACACCAGGAGTCGAAGGAATCGGAATATATTTTAATTATATATATTTTTTTAGTTCTTGTTTTTTTTTTTTTATTTAATCCACAAGAATCGTTAGCCTGGCGTTAGCCTGGCGCTGGCTGCAGTGAGCATGTAAGCAGGTAGTGTTTACCTTCCCGGCTCGCCTGCGCCTGTTGCATAGAGACTGTTGCCTAGCTGCATGATGTTACCCCTCCGCACCACGTTACCCCCCCTGGTGCTTTCACGCTCGAGGATGCCGTCCGCTTGCGCTCCGGGCCCTGTCTGTGACTTGACGTGTCTCTCAGCATAGCCCGGGCCACCGCAGCATAACCGACGGCCATGAATTCTTTCCGGACTTTCTGGAATCCCGGAACGCTGGGGGACTCCTGGGTGGAGGGGCTGGACCGGGACATCTACGAGGTGGAGTCCCGTGTGCCTCTGCCCAGACCCTTTCCCTTACCCACGATCTTAAGCGAGAAGAACGCCGTGGTCGTACACACTCAGATATCGCACGTCAGTAACAGGAAGAATGGACACTTGCTCAAAGTTGTCTCTAAGATATCTTTGCCCACGCCTCCGTACACTGTAAGTGCGCCGCTGTTCGTTTGTCTTGCTTGTCCCAGTATGACATCCTTGTCTGCTGATCTTTACCCCATTTCTTGGTGTCTTCTCTTGTACCGATGTGTGCATCTCACCCATTTTGGCAAGAATGAATGAAGTGATGTTGTGTAGAACAGAAAAACCTCCTTTGCTCTTTGTAATTCTGGTCTTTGCGTGAGCTGGAGCCGTCCTGAAGGTTCGCTGTCAATGGCAGGGCGGTCATTCAGTCACCTTGGCTGCTGACCGTGACCAGCGTAACAAAGGCCACGATTAAAGTTGCAGGAGTTACAGGTGGAAGTGTGACGCTTTTCTTGCACCTCGAAGTCCTGCCCTAGATCCTGGGGCATGCAGGCCCTTGGGTGTCAGGCCTCCTGGGTGTTTCTCAGGCCTCCCCAGGCAGGCCTTCAGCGAGAAGCCTTCGCCAATGTTCCGTTTGCTTTTTGCACTCATGCTCTGTGGTCCTCCCCACCCTCCTCACCTCCCCCCTCCACCCCCCTCACCTCCCCCCTCCACCCCCTAGCTGGAGCACGCCAGGGTGGCTCAGACGGAGCTGATGCGAGAGTCCTTCAGGCGAAATGAGGAGATGCACGATCTGCTGAGGAGGCAGGAGGAGCTGCAGGAGCAGCTGGTGGAGGAGGCCAAGGTCCGGGAGCAGCTGGCCATGGAGCTCCACAGGGCCGAAGGTGAGTGGGGGGTGAGATTGGGGCACTTTGTAGGCCTTGGGAGCGCGGCTGATGGGGCTCTATGGGGTAGGGGGGGGGGGGGGGGGGCTCTAAGACCTTTATAACAGCAGTGCTGTATGCACTCACCTGACCACCCCGGTATCGGACAGCTGGCCGATCAAGGGGGGGTGGCCAATTCACCTTTCCCCCGTCATGAACAGGAATACTGTGTCCCTTATCAGGGCAATAAGATTTTACCGTCTCATTTTCATACACATCCGGGTGTGGGCAGGAGGGCAGGTTGTAGCTCAGACTTGACGCATTATACAGCCAGTTTGTTATCTTTCAGGATAAGTGTGTGCATGTTTGCATGAAGAGGAAATTTAAAAAGTGTGCACATATTTATAAAAAAAAAACAATATGGACTAATTCTGCCACTTTTTCAACCTGTAGCTTTAAGTCACCGGGGAGCAGTGCTCATCTGCGATGAAGCTCGGATCTTCCTCCCCCAGTGAATTGCCCTCTTTCAGCCGCCCGGGTTTTGTTGCCGGGGATGTATGGCTCATGTGCGCGCGTTGCTCTTGAAGGGGCGGTACCTCGTTCCCCCGTCGCCTGGGGAGCGGAGAATGGCTGCAGGTGTGGTCGACAAGTTTGGCTGCGGGGAGCCGCCTCATTCCTCACGTCTGGAGCTCTTTGTTCCCCAAAGTCAACAGCACCTCTGCTTCTTGAGTGTTGCCCCTTGTAAATAGTCTGAATAGTATGGATCAAGCTTGGCAGAAGATCACACTTTCACAAAGGGATGTAGAGACTCTAAGACCTGAGGTGTTCATGGTGGTGTTTAGGTTTTTAACAAGTGACCTACCCTCACTGAAGGCTTGAATGCTTCTGGCCGTCTGCCTTCCAAGCTGAGGTATTTTTATGAAGGGTTTTGCTCCACCCCAGCCCCCACCTCTGCCTCGTCCAGGGCTGGGGTGATAATTCACTGGGGCAGATGTCCTGACAGGCCTGCTCTTGGGTGTGGCGTAATCCTCCACAAATATCATTATGTTTGTGCTGTTTTCGGTTTGTGTTCCGGCTTAAGGAGGATGACGGTGCGTAAATACCGTCCTCACACGTGGCAGGGTGTCCAACCCGGGGTTTGCTGACATTTAGCGCAGAGAGCATCGTGTGCAAACACTGAATACCCTCAGCTTTCTGGTTCCTGCCTGCAGAGCCTTCACACTGGGCTCTGAAATGCCCCCAGTGATATATGAATTGGCCTCCTTGTTACTTCAGAGTTCCGGAGGCAAGCCACACGTCCGTTGAAGAAGCAGGTGCACAGATTCGGCCTGCGGGGGGCAGCGATGCCCCCATCTCCTCTGCGGCCGTCGCTCCAGCTAGCGTGGACTCACACCAGCACGACTTTTAATAAGTGAATGGTGAAGCAGACGGCAGAGGATTAATTGTAATTGAACGGTTGCTTGTTTTTTATAGATCAGTCGTGATTACGAAACTGCTGTATCGCCGGTCGCATGACCTTAGCCACATATTGACCTGAATTGGTTGTGTTTATTTCCAAATCCAAGCCCGCTTGTTTGCTTCAGTTTATCACAGTAAGCGGTTTTTTGCTGTTCGACCAGTATGCCCACTTTGGCTTTTGTAGCGCCGCACAGAAACTTCCTTCACATGCGGCGCTGTTGTGTTACGGTATGTCACAGGACCATCTGGCAGAAGCTGCTTATATGATCTGTAGTCTATTTTATGACCTCCTCTGCTTGTCTTCAGTTTCTGAAGAATTTGTTGGCGGGGAATTTGAAGAGTTGAGTTGGTATTCATCTTCCCGTTCAATCAAACATACATAGGTAGAACTTTACTGGCCTGCCTTAGCCTGCCCAATGAGAATTATGGACTGGACGACCATTTGCTTCTGGTGTGATGCGAGGTATGTTAGGGCATATCTGAGGAGGTAAAAAGGGTATTACGAAGATTGAATTCATCTTAAGCAGTTAGGGTTAAGTCATTAGCAGAGATGCTAATGGAAAATATATTGCAGCCATGATGATAGTTAAAAATCCCAGTTGGGTCATCTTGAGCTCAGATGATTGTGTAACATCTTCAGAAAGATTTAAAATACTTTTTGACATATTTAAGTCATAAAACATTCATGCATATTGATTCATTGACCACACAAGGTTTCTGCCTCTGTGTTTCCAGGTGACCAGTGTAATTTTGATTCGATTTGGCGTCACTTTCTTTCTCACAACGGTGTCACATGACTGCAATTTTGGAATAATCTCCGTTCACCCCCCCCCCTCCCCCTGCCGTCCAAGTATGGTCTCTGCCCATCCCTACATAGTAACCTCTGCTTTGGAAGTCTTTGGAATCTGACCAGCAGAGATTGGCAAGGTAGCCGTGTGGGTAGAGCAGGTTTGGTACAAACCTCGGTTTTGCGTTCATGGTTTGATGCAATTTTGGTACAGCAGGGAAAAGAGAATTTGTTTTGAAATTATTATTAAAACTGCAAACACAATTGGGTGTAGAACAAAGGCAACGCATCTGTTGACAAAACCTTAAGAAACACTTATTTTCGCAATTTAAAAATAAATGTGTAAAATTGAAAAATTATATATAAACATATAACAGTCATAATGAACTACTACTCAATATGGTCACGTATCTGTAGTGATAAAATTCTCTGTATCCATGATTATTTTTAAACCTGACGTGAATTTCCTGGTAATTCCTGGTCCCAAACAACTGACCTAAGTGATGTGGGAGGATCTTTCAGCTTTCTGGCACTAGCCAAAACCAAGTCAGAGCCGCAATTAGGTTAAAGTTTTCTGTGCTGTACATCTGCGCTCTGTATTCATTTGTTTTATTGTACAAAACCAAAAATGGTGTACCAAACTGTGTACGTGTACCATTACAGCCCTAGTGTGCGGCATTTGTCAGGGCTTCGTAGTGGACAGTGGTGTAAGATGGCGGTTGTTAAGCACCTTGTAGTTTCTGTACCTGAAGTGTGTGCCAGACAGGATACAAACCAACTATGTGAACCACTGAAATATTACCCTGAGGCCAGGGTCGGTCTGCCAGCTCTTGCTGCAATAGCCCAGGCTCAGCATAATTCTGTTCAGTGTCAGTGTTAATCTCTCTGTGCTTTGGTTTATAGCAAGATTTGGCCTGTTGGGTATAATTAGCATCTGATATTCGAAGGATAGGATTGTTTGATTAGTCTAGACTAGTCGAGATCTTTCGTGCTGTCACTTGAGTGAGACCTGCCCTCTAAATGACATTGTGAGACTCTCACAAATGTTCACATTTCAGTGTCCACCTTTTTCAATGCAAAACCTTTTTTTTTGTTTTGTTTTGTTTAGCAGAAAACTACCAGCATTGTTTTGGTATCTTTTATTTCTGAAATATACTGCAGAGAATTATGGATGATTGTCATCCCTACCACAGTATGAACTGGTGCATGTATGTAGGGCTGCAAAAATGATTTTGATCATCGATTAATCATCTGATTAAGCAATCAACTAATAGAGCAGTTGTGCCAAAACACAGGGTTTAAACAAAAGTGCAAATACTTTATTTTAAATAGTCACATAGTGTAGAGAATCTCTATTTAAAGTGACAAAGTAGCATAGAAACTAAGAGCCTCTGTCCCTGCAAGATTAAATTTGCCATTTATTGTACTTTATAGCACAGTAAATGGTATTTTGACAGTTATTTTGGGGGTATTTTCAAAAGCAATACATTCGCGGATTTTGAAATCTTTACAATATTTACAGAGTTGGGGGGGCAGCTTATTTTATCGCCATGATTTCAAAATACGGTAGTACCATAGTACCACCCAAACCTAATAACAATTTTCAAACTCTTCCTATAAGTTTACCCATTTCACTACACTGCTTGTGTTTTGTGTTGTTGTAATGCATTTGCCCGCTGCTGGTCTGGTGGAATTTCATTGATTCACCAGCCGCAACCGTCTGTGTCTACAGAGAAATGCAGTATGAACTAAGGTTAACATTAACATTGCTAGGTGATGATGTCATACACAATTTGCATATGCAAAAATGCAACCAGTCGATGACAAAATTCGTTGTCCACTGTTTTTAATAGAGATTACTATCGACATTATCGATCAGTCGTCGTAGCCCTAGGTGTTTGTGAGTTAAGAATGAGCAAACGTGACCTTCCCGTTCAGAGCTTCACGTGTGGTTGTGCGCGTGCGTTCAGGCCTGATCGACGGCTACACGGACGAGCGCACCACTTCGGAGGCCCGACTGCGGGAGAAGGAGGAGCTGCAGCTGCACCTGGAACAGGAGCTGCGTGTGACGGGCAGCCGCCTGCAGGAGCTGGAACAGGAGCGGCAGCAGATGGAGCAAGAGCGGGAGCTGCTGGCCAGGCAGCAGGGGGCCATGCGTGGCGTGGCGGGGCCCCGCGAGCTCTGTACGTACGCCGCCGTTACCCTGGCAACAACTCCCATCATCTGAGAAAATCGGTTCTTGTTAAAAGTTCTCTTAAAAGTTACTCGTTTGGTATTATTAGCTTAGTTTGTTTTTATCTCCGTAATAGGCACAAATCCACAAATATGTATTTTTGACTATATAAACTTCGCAAGTTGTTTTTGAAGGTGTTTTTTTTTTTTTTTTTTATAAACACGCTGGGCTTGTTGACAATATGGCAACCTACGCAAAGAAAGTTTGGCAATTACGGAAATTCTACATTTCAGCCAGTTTCATATTTCAGGGACTTTCATAATAAACTGGTAAATGAACCGTACGCACCAGGCACGGATACTGGTAAGTTCTCCAAGGAGCTGTTGCAGGATGCAGAACCTGACTTCCACTCTGGCCTGACCTTTCCTTCACCACCACGCCTCACCCACCTTCAGGCCGAGTCCGTGACCTGTCGAACCCTCTTTTTTTTTTTTGTTTTCCTCACTCTCTCTCCTTCTTGTAATGACAGCATGTTGTGCTTTTTTATCCTCCTAGGCCTAGTTGAAGCTGCAGTTGATGCAGCCCCTGAAGCAGGTGTGTTCACGTAAAGCATGGCCAGCCTATCTGTGCACTTAATGTCTAATCTGATCGATCGCTGGACACGTGACCCAGAGACGGCCTTGCTGGAAGCTTGGAGCTTGCTTGCACTGGGCTCAGCTCACCCTCACTGATGGCTGCTTCAGCTTTAATTTAACTACCTTGTACTTGTTATGGCAGTATGTCACAAGGTCATTAAAATCTTTTCATTCTGAGCATGATTTAAAATGGGAATTGGAAAATCCATTGCCCTAATTGGCAATCATCTCTCTCCACCTCTACTGAAAGATTCAAACGTAGCCCTGACTCTTCAGCTCTCCACCTCCCTGCCTTTCAGTTCCTGTCACAGCTTTCTAATGACTTTCCAAGAAGATGATTGCTCAATTTGGGATAATCCCACCCCCCTTCCCTCCCCCCCACCCGAGGCATGGGGCATGGACTATGTGGGCTCGATTTTCATCGCCGTGCTACAAGAGTCAGAGATTAGGCTGCAGGCCACATGAGCAAACTGGGACTTGCAGGGGAAATAGTCATTGACTCCGAGTTTCATTTTTACAAATAAACATTTAGTGACAGATCATAGCGTATCTGCTGTTTTTCGAGTTTAACACTCAGCCTGTTTACAGTGGGAGAAAAATAACCAGATTCTCTCACTGATTTTTCAGAAGGTTTGTTTCTTAGTAACATCTCTTCTTGAGTGATGCATGAGGGAATACATTTATTTTGCATAGTTTGTTTTACAAGAAGCCTTCAGTTAGAATTGTCATTTTGCTTTTAAACGTTGCATAGGCTTTCTTGCCCAAGCATATATAAGCAAGCCGATTTCATCTCAGCTCCCAATATAATTGGTGTCCGTCCAATTGGTGAATTGGTGACCGTCCCCAAATACACAGACCCACTAGAAACAAATCCATTCTCCAGTGACGGATTATCCCAGGCTGGGGTACACCCCTGTTCTGTATTTCCCAGGTTGGGCTGTGGGTTACCCTAAAGCCTAAAGATTACCGAAGGGGTTAATGATAGTGGGTTTGATGGATAGACCAGTGATGCTGTAGGGCGTTTCCAAAACAATGAGCTTACATGTGAAACAGGGGACTCACTGGAAAATGGCCCACTTGAGTAATCAGCCTAATGCTTGCACTCTCCCAGTATAGCAAATTACATTACGTTAATATGATTGACCTTGTAGCCCAGCTAGCAGTTTTTTTTGTTACTCCCAAAGTCAGTGGTGCTACGCTTCAGCGACCGCCGTGCCTTTCCCCTGCAGACCCCTGCGTGGCGCGTGAGCATAAACGGCACAAGAGCGTGGAAAGTCGGGCCCTCCGCATCATCCGCGGCTGTTTCGTGCTCATTCTGTCTCTTCACTCTCTTACCCCTTTGTTTGTTTTTTTGTTTTGTTTTGTTTTGTTTTACTAATCCCAATGGGTTCTCATCGTGGAATAACAGTGTGGACTGGTGCTATGGTGGTGATAATTGAATGCGCCGGGGGGGCTCTAATTGGGATCAGGCCCTGGGAGAGGTATTTGTCCCGTTTACGACTTGGGATCAGGAAATGAGATGATGTTTTGGCTGCTTACTGCCCCGTACTGTTCAGCTACAGAAGCTCTACATACACAGGCCATTTTCACTAAAGATACTTTTAATCATAAAATCAGCTTATATTCTATAGGTATGATCTTATAGCTATAATGTAAAGTAATTAAGCAGTGACTTAAGACTGCGCTTTGTTTGCTGTATACTTATCAAAGATATGGTCTGTCGAAAACACCAGCATTTTTATGCAGCCTGCATCTGCTCTGTTCCTGAAATCCCCCCCAGTTTATAATCCAATAAACAATCTTTCGATGGTGACCCCCAGCACCCGGAGCAGAATCTAAAGGCCTGTCGACCTCATCATAGGTCTGCTGGAGGAGACTGAAAAACTAATGAAGGAGAAGGTGGAGGTGCAGCTACAGGCCGAGAAGGACAACAGTGACCTCCAGAAGCAGGTGAAGTGTCTGGAGATGGAGGTGGAGGAGCAGGTCAACAAGGCCATCGAGCTGGAGGAGGATCACCGGGCCGAGAGCAGCGACCTGAGGCAGCAGATCCAGGCCCTGGAGAAACAGCTGGAAAACAACAGGAAGTTCCTGGATGTAAGAACCACGTTTTTCTCCATGATTTTCCTTTATCCATCTATTTACTTTTTTTTAACGTGACAGGAATGAAATAAATTGCTGTCATTGTACCTGACTGAAACTTCCCCTGCAAGTTTCAAGCTAAAGCCTTCATGAATCAGTGTATTGATACATGCCCACACCCTCTCTCCGATGTACAGGAGCAGGCCGTCGACCGGGAGCACGAGCGAGATGTTTTCCAGCAGGAAATCACCAAGTTAGAAGTGCAGCTGAAGAACACCGTGAAGCAGCAGTCCAGCAATGACGAGCGAACCCGAGAGGTACAGACCCCCCTACCGAGATCACGTGACCCAACACCTTGTGGTCTACGTGGCGACTATATGAGCTGCTCATGTTATGGGATCGGGCATTTTTTAAGAGCCTGTGAGACCAGATATAGTTTAAACAATCCAGGGTGGAGAGTATGTACTGCAAATAGAGCCCAAACCAGTCTGACCAGATCTGTTGACCTGGCTCTCCACTGTCTGCCTTTGTAGTACATATTTTTAACTAAACTTTCGATATAGATAATGAACATATCTCTTAGTTATTTTGGCACTTTCAGAGATTAGAGTGGGCCATTTCCTTGTTTTGGATGGCGAGCCATGCTAAAAATACACCGGGATCCAGATTCTGGGAAACTCCGATATCCCAAGAGCAACGCTTTTAGTATAATTCAGTGGCTCCCAATCCGCTACCAGAATGTTTTCATTCCAACCCTTGCTGCGTTCGGCCTGCCATATTCATTATCAGCATATTAAGGACCATATAAGCCTGACTGAGGTAGGGTTGGAATGAAAAGATTGTGGCAGGAGGGCACCAGGAACAGAATTGAGAACCACTGGTATAATTAAAGTAGTAGCCTTGGCCAAGCCTGACATAACTATTCCGTCTGCTTCTGCCGTGAAGTAGAAGTGTTGTGATTAAGATATTTGTTTCTACTGTACGCACTCTAGCTACATGGCTGCTCCCATTCTCACCCTGTGCTCTCACAGCCTTAATGAGATGCGTGCTGTGTTATGTCATGCGGCAGGTGGATCAGCTGACCACCCAGCTGAAGGAGAAATCTGATTGGTGCAGCGAGCTGCTGCTGGGCTCCGAGCAGCTGCAGAGGGACATCCAGGAGCGGAACGAGGAGATCGAGAAGCTGGAGGGGCGCGTGCGGGAGCTGGAGCAGGCTCTGCTCGCTAGCGCAGAGTCGCCGCGGAAGGTGGGCCCCCGCCGTCCACCCCCCGCCCCGTTAGACGCAGGCACCGCGCCACATGAATCTTAACAACCCTTTCTGCGGCAGATCCCCCCCCTCCGAGTAAAGATGTGAGAGCGCGGTCGCACGGTGCCCGCGGCTGAGCGACAAAGGTCACGCCGGCCACATTCTCCTGGTAATGGTTTTGGTCATGTGATGTCATTCAGGGGGAGGACCAGAGGCAGATGATCCTCATGCAGAAGACTGATGACTCAAGCCTGGAGGCCCAGCTGCAGACAGAAAGGGAGGCTTTAGACAGAAAGGAGAAGGAGGTACCATTTTTTTTTATTTATTTTTTCCAAAATTAGCTTCTCACTTGTTATTTTTATTGGTGACATGTTATTAAAATAATATTCACACTTCAGCAGCATTTAGTCACTTGTGTTCTCTACTGTGGAAGACACTGCTGGCAGGTGAGGTCTTTGTCCTGATATCTGAATCTGAACCCCTTGTAGATAAGTAACCTGGAGGAGCAGTTAGAGCAGTTCAGGGAGGAGCTGGAGAACAAGAGCGAGGAGGTCCAGCAGCTTCAAATGCAACTGGAGATCCAGAGGAAGGAGCTGAAAACCCAGCAGGAGGACCTGGAGCACAAGAGTGGCCTGCTTAAGGTAAAGTATCCCCTCCCCCAGCTCCACTCTGCCACAAGGTCCCCTTCACGGTGACCTGGACGCTCGATTCTCGTCGGTGCTCAGCTTCCATCTCCGTTGTGGTTGTGAATAAAGGTCTTTGCAGCCAGTGTCATGCACTGTGTGCTCCTTTGGGCGGCTGTATTCCAGGTCCACTGGGAATTAAGATGTTTCTGTTGAGGACCAATGTATTATGATCTCCAACTTCTCTAAGGTCTTGGAAGAGAAGGACAGGCAGATAGCCCTTCTAAATCAGCAGCTCTCTATGCTTCAGAAAATGGGAACTGCACCCAATAACAAGGTAACATCATGCAAATATATGTGTGTAAACATCAACCCCTTGGTTGGCCTGTTGACGCATATATATTTTTCAGTGATGGTGAATGTTTGTTGGCCAGTCAAGTGAGCTCCTTCCTTGAATATGCTTTTTCAAGTTTGAAGTTAAATCTGACCCTTTTGTTTTAAGCAAACTAAATACGAGGAAATGTGAAGCTCACTTGTACGAGCCATGAGCATGAAATCGGCAAGAACGGAGGTCTTGATATTAATTATGATATTCGATGTCTGTTGTAGATGATTGAAGAGAAGAATGAGTTATTGAGAGAGCTGGAAGCGCAGGTTGAGTGTTTGAAGAGTGAGCAGGAGCACCTGAGAAGGAACAATGAACTTGAGGTCGATCAACTCCATGACGTCATTGAGAAGCTGCAGCAGGAGCTTTTGAAGATCGAGCACAAAAGCTCTGAGGAATATCTCCCGGACACTGAGGACCTGAGCGGTGCCACCAGGGAAGAAATCAGTTTTAGCAAGGAAGAGTTTGATGAGATGAAGCAGAAAATAGATGAGACTACTCAAGAACTGAACACACTGAAGGCGAATCACAACTCGCTGCTGGAGAAATGCAGAGGTCTAGAAGAAGAGAAGCTGGATGTGTTGAGCGCCAAGGAGAACGAAAGGTCACATGTGGAGGAGCTGGAGGAGGCGTTGCAGGAGAAGACCGCTGTGGCCGTCGTCATGCAGGCGCAGATTCAGGCCTTAGAGCAGAGCGCGAGCTCCAAAGTGGCCGATCTGACGAAACGGGTGGAGGAGCTGGAAGCCTGTGTGGAGGAGAAAGACTCTGAACTTACTGACTGTAGGTTGCGGGTGGAGCAGGCCCAGGCTGAGGCTGCTGCACTTCAGCTCAAGATCTCCAGCCTGGAAGACAAACTCAGGGACAAGATGGCCGGTCTGCTGGTGAGCCAGGCCCAGCTAACCAAAGAGCTGTGTGGTCAGACTTCTGAAGCAGTGGGTCTTCTGGAGTTTTGCCCACGTGAGGCAGGGAAAGATGCCTTTGAAGGCCCATCTTCAATCCCAGAAACCCCTGAAGAGGTCAGAGAAGGCAGACGGACACCGGTAGCGAAAGTGGTACGTCTTGCGGAGAAGCTGAAGGACCTTGAGGAATGCTTGCGTGAGATTCAGAAGGATCAGGAGCTACAGAAGCACCTCCTGTTCAGTTCAGAGGAGGAGGTAGTGGAGTATGAGAAGAGACTGGCAGTACTAATGAACCTCCTCAACCAGATGACCGCAAAATCCATCCACCGAAAATCACCACCACTAAGCACAGTACGTGCATCGCATTCCTACTAATTCAGCACATTCACGGTCATGCTACTTTGCTGGAAGTTACATTTTTTTCTGGGTCACTAATTAAATTATTCTAGTTTTCACCATGTTGTGGTCCAGTGAACTATTCCAACTGTGTATAAGGCCACTTGCTGTTTCACCATTATGATCACCATCGCACGCTCCTGTTTCAGGAGTCCAGCAGTCTCGGTGAGGAGGACCCCGCCACCGACTCGGGGCTGCTCCTGGAGATGCAGGAGGAACGACAGGAAGCTGCTGCCATCAGAGAAGAACTGAGAACGTACAGGGAGCAGAGCGAGAGGCTGGAGAAGGAGTTACAGGTACGTCACAAGATGTGTGGCACATGAAGGGAAGGGCAGAGGCCACTGCAATTATGAGGGAAAAAATGCCGCCCTACTGGTGCAGCCGGCATCTTGGGTATGTTTTTCAAGGACTAGATCGCCAGTCCTCAGGTTTCATATGGTGCCGAGAGGCGAGTCTTAAACTTTCAATATGCAAATAAAAGAATGCAATAAACCGCCTTCAGTGTGACATCTGTTAAAGCAATTAATACATTGTGCAATCAGTACATTGGTCACTGTGTTTTGGTTGTTTTGGTGTCTGATTCTAAGTCTTAATCTTAATACATTCTTGAGTTCATTAGCAATACTGAAGCATTTTATGTCTAAGTATAAAACTGATGTTCTGAATAATCACTCGTATGTTTTAGGTTAAAGAATTAACTATATCTCAGCTTCAAGAGGACCTTCAAAAGGTGAGAGACAAGCATCCCATTGTAACCTTCCCACTCAGGTTTTGGTAGTCAAATCATAGTGATATTTAACAAACCCAATGATCTGTTAAAAATATGTACATCTCGTGACACGCTGCTCTCCGTCGCCCCTCTCTGGCGCAGAAGTGCGATGGCGTGTCCAAGGAGTCAGAACTGCTCCAGGAGCTGCACGAGGTTCGCCGGGAAGCTGCTGTCACCAAAGAGGAGCTGAGTGCCTACAGAGAGCGGAGTGAGCAGCTACAGAAGGAGATGGAGGTATCCCTAGACTTCCGATAACTCTTCCTGTAGCAAACACTCCACTAGAGGGCAGCAAATCAGTTCTTACCTATGCTGTTTATCTGTATATCAGGTTCTATAATATTTAAAAATAGTGATTGCTTGAAATCTTTATTTCTTTAGGAGAGAGAGATGGCTATTGCTGGCCTCAGAGAAGATCTCCAGAGGGTAAATGGCTTCACCAGTTTCTATTTCTGCTGAAACACTTGGTGTACAAAGCATGAGGATGGTGTTCTGATATTGCAGTGCACCACCATTCGCCCTCAGGACAGACTCGGTTTGTAGGAAGCAGCAGGGTGTGGAATGTGCTCCACTGGGACGCTGCTACATGGTGACTCTACTGCCCCTAGTGGTTATGTTGAGTTGGCTGGTTCTGTTTAGGTGGTGGACTGCTTCGGGATGGCTCGAAGCAGCACACCTGCCCCCCCCCACTCATGCAGCATTCAAAGGCACATGCACAATCAGTGACCACTCTCTCAGGCCTTAAAAATCATTCATTACCTTGTCTCCTCCCCCGTTGTACAGTGATTGCATATCCATCCATCCATCCATTTCACCAACTGGGGGGTGGGAGCAAATTTCAAAGGGGATCCAAACTCAGTCTTACTGTACGTGCCTGATCTGGAGGGGGTTTCAAACCTGTTATTTAAGTATGTGCCAGTCGAGGAGCTGGGAGACCCTCCCAGGAAGCACCGGGCACGAGGCAGGGCGACGCCCCAGACCCAGATGCCAGTCCGTCACAGAGCAGACAGACACACACGATTACACACTATGGGCAGTAGAGAGATGTCTGTTGGCTTGAGTGCATATTTTTGAGAGGAAATTACCGTAATTGGCAGTTATAGCCGTCACCTGAATGCACCTGGTCAGAGAATTTAAAGCAAAGCGTGGCTGTTTTGTTCAGTGTGTACCTCCAAACTCGGGTATGAGTTGAGAATTTCTTATTAGGTGTTCTAGTGCCTTAGTGAACTTTTTCATTTTTTTGTAACTTTCATTCAGGTGTCTGATATAGAGAGAAAGGAGGCCTCCACTGCTAAGTCAGAGCTTCTGAAGGAGCTGCAGGAGGTCCGAGAGGAAGCCGCAGCCGCCAAAGAGGAGCTGAACACCTACCGGGAGAGGAGTGACAAACTGAGAGAGGAACTTCAGCTCAGAGACGCCTCCCTGGCCAAGCTTCAAGAGGAGCTCCAGCAAGTGGGGGCCGCTTTGGCCAGGACCCAGGAGGAGCCGTCTTCCCAAAAGGAGGAGAAAGGGGGGAAACTCAAAGCCGTAGAGGAGACCCAAGCTTCCTCCCCGGAAGAGATGCCGTCCCCCGTGAGGAAGAACTCCATGTCCCAGACTGACAGGCCTTCCGTCTCAAGCGGCGGCGTCCAGACGGAGCGGCTGGTCTTTATGGATGCTGGGGCGCAGGCGGATCTGGCCACGCCAGGACCCGACGCTTCGGAGGAGATCGCGGAGGTCATCAGCGAATACGATGAGCGGATCGGGCAGATGCAGGAGCTGCACGCGGCCGAGATCATGGACATGGAAGCCAGGCACATCTCCGAGAGTGAAGCACTGAAGGCCGAGGCCCAGATGCTGCAGCAGGAGTGCCAGACTCTGAAGGTCGTCATCGAGAAGCTGAGGACCGCTGAGGTAAGCTGCCCCATGGGCTTCCGCTGTTGGCCTACTTCTGACTGTCGGCTCATTAGAACCTTACCTTACCCTCTTTATTGCTCTCTTCAAGTCTGTCTCATCTCGGCCAGAGCAGCCCGTCCTCTCACAGAGCAGAGATGAATACACCAGCGGTAAGCGGCCCTTTAAAATGTAAACTGGCCAGAGTTGGGTAATCCAGGTCCAGAGAATACAAATCCAGACCAAGATTTTGTTTGAACCTACCAGTTGAACATAAAGAGTCACAGTCACAGAGTACTCAACTGGTTGGTTTAAACAAAACAATGGTCTAGATTTTTGCTCTCTCGACCAGAACCATCCACCACTGGAGGTAGCTTCAATGCAAGAATGCATATGCCCATTGTAAGTGATCCCTGTTGGAGTGCTCTAGTATTTATCCCCTGCGTGGGAATTGTCCACACCTTCTGCCCACAGAAAGCGGCTCGGACTGGAGCCAGCACACTTGTGACGTCTCGAGCCTTAACCAGGAGTTCAGAAGCACTCCAGAAGGGGGCAGGAGGGACAATGGGACTGGGCAGGGTTCCATGGAGATCTTGCCTGACAGGATTAAGGTGCGGTGAAAACTTTACTCGTCTTCCATTCAGGTTATGTTGCAGATAGTGTCATTGCTTGTAAAATATGGCATCGTGTGGGGATCAAGTTTCAAGGAGGCCCAAGGAACACAAACTGTCTTGTGCTGTTGTTTTATTGGATAGTATAGAACCAGTGAACCTGCAGAAGTGTTTGCAGTGGACGTGCAACCCTGTGGGTGGAATCGGGTGTGTGCTGGAGTTTTAAAAAATAAGGCAGTTTGGGTGACTCATACAGACAATGTCTCACCCTGCAGTTTAGGTCCTGTGCCTCTGTCCGGTAGGTTGTGGGTTCAGATCCCGTGACTTGCAGATTTAACAGATGCTGCAGTTTTTTTTTTTTTAAACTATTTTGCTGCCATCCCCTCTATAGGAACATTGATGTGCTCGCACTGCTGGTTTATCGCATGCTGCTTTCTTCTGGTGAACTTGCGACCTGCTGTTTTACAGAGCCTGCTGAGAGAGGTGCACCAGGAGGGCATGCAGGTGCTGTCCCTGTCCGAGCTACCCCTGCTGGAGGGGGAGCAGCCGGCCACCCCGCCGAGGCCCCAAGGATGGCTGAGGGAGCGAGAGGCCCTGCTGGCGTCCATCAATTCCCTGAAGGCCCTCATTTCCAGAATGCAGGCCTCCAGAGATGAACAGGTATACAGTCAATGCCACTACAGAAAGGTCATCTCAGCTGGCGTTCATGGTGAAGCATCCACAGATGTTGATAGACAGTGCATCAGTAAGGTTAGATTGCGCTTCAATTTGACTTTTCCTTCACTCGACTTGTTTTGACCATGACATCCCACCTGAATTTATGCAATTACTAATAAGTTCGCCTGTGTTTGGGAGCTCTGGTCTTTCATACACACTGTGTGTGTGTGCATTACATTGTGGGGACCAAATGCTCTCACAATGTGATGCCACGCCAAAACATTGGAGGATGAACAAGTTGTTTTCTTAGTTATTAGTTATTGAGTACCAAAATAATTTCATCTACTCCAGTTTTTGCTCTTCCAAGTTAGTGGCAATACTTGTGGTAACCAATCAGCAAGCTATTGCTGGAGCGTCTCCTCAGTAGTACGTATTCGAACGAAAAGTACCTAGTCTGAAGTAGGTCCTAAAAAAGCTCTGGAATCATCTACGTGGAACTACAATTGGTTCTGCCGGTGTGAAAGCGCCTAAAGACATTAATGGATGGTCCCCACAAAGTCATGAATATAAGTGTATATGTGTTTCATCAGTCTGGCCAGTCAGGAGAGGGTGCCACGGACTGGCGGGCGGAGCTCCTGAGGGCAGTGCAGCAGGTCTTGGTGAGCGAGCGCGGTGTGCTCAAGAGCGCCCTCTATGCACGGCTGGAGCAGTTGGACACCAGTGACGTGGTCGTTCATCTCAACCAGCTGGAGCGCCGCCTATCGGAGCAGGTGAGGCAGCCTCAGGGTCCTCAGGACATGTCAGCGGTGCCGAGGACATGAAAAACCTCCACAGGACACTTTGAATTTGCGAGATTTTGAGAACCTCGTTCAGTCAGATTAGTCAACTCGTTAACTGTTTGCGTTGTGGCAGGAGGCCCAGCACAGGGAGGCGGTGGAGATCCTGCGGGGTGCGGAGAGACGCAGCCTGCTTATGGAGGTCCAGCAGCTCCGTTCCCAGATGCAGCTAGTCCAGCAGGAGCCTGGCCAGATAAAGATCTCTGTACTGCGGCCTGCTCAGAGTCCCAGCCCAGGTAGACATGTGCACATGTGCTCTGTACTGCTTCTGCTGGTTTTAATATGGTCAAGATATGGTGTATGAGTGAGGAGATCCTTATTCAGCAGTAGGAGTTTATGGAGACCCTCACCAACCACCAGAATGCATGCATAGCTGATGCTTCCCACCAAGTATTTATTTGTCTGGCTGGAAGTCTTACTGGAGCAGTTCAGGTTGATTATCATTATCTTAGGCATCTTGGGATTTGAACTGGCAACCTTCTGGTTGTGTTCTTAACCTCTGAGCCACCTTGCTTCTGTTATTGGCTGTACCGCTGGAAGAACTTAGCGAATCATCAAGGTAATGGAATGACACATCTGTACATGTTTAGGTGAACGGGACAGGCAAGAAGGCCAAGGGACCCCAAGTGGGGCCGGTGCATCTCAGGACCTCCGTGGGCTCCCCGCAGACAGGATGGTGCTGGACGAACTGAAGGGCGAGCTGGCCCAGACCAAACTGGAGCTGGAAACCACCTTGAAGGCACAGCACAAGTACCTGAAGGCTCTGGAGTCCCTCAGGTATGCTACCTCGTGGTGATGCGGTCCTGGCTGGGTGCCGTAGAAGGGAACAACTGAAAGAGCCTCTGCCCCGTCCGTCTCTCCCGGCGCAGGAGCGAAGTCACAGAGAAGGTGGCTGAGGTGGACAGGTTGACCGAGGCTCTGGCGAGTGAGCAGAGGAAGTCGAGGGAGCTTCAGTGGGCGTTTGAGAAAGAGAAGTGCAAGCGGGACAAAAATGAGAAGCAAGAGCAGGAGGAGCTGGAGGTGAGGCGTCGGATCGGGGAGATGAAAAGCAGCCCATGGGTCTCAGTAAATGTTGGGGCCGTGTTGGCTGATCGGCTCCGTGCTGCTGTATGTAGGACCTGAGGCTCGCTCTGGAGGAGCAGCAGAGCCGGGTAGCCCAGCTGAGCGAGAGCCTGGAGCAGCAGCAGGGGCTGACGGCCCAGCTCCAGCGGGACGTGGACACCGGCCGGGCCCAGCTGTCCCGCGTGCAGAGCCGAGCGTCCGAGCTCCGGGTGCAGCTGGAGTCGGCACGGGCCCGGGCCCTGGAGCTCGCTGGCGCCCTGGAGCGGGAACGGGAAACGCGGCAGCAGCGCGGTGCAGGGGATCCCGAGGCTGAGGAGGGAGCCCAGTCCACTGGAGCCCTCCTGGAGGCACTGCAGGTGCAGCTGGAGGAGAAGCATGGCCGGCTGGTGCACCTGGTGGAGGAGGTGGAGAGGTACAAGCTGGAGGCGTCGCAGGCCGAGTTGCAGAGGGAAGAGGATGAGCGGGCGAACAGGATCAACACTCAGCAGGAGCAGGAGGCCCAGCTGAAGGTCCTGCAGGCCAAGGTGAAGGAGCTGCAGAGGCTGGTCCTGCAGCTGCAGCAGGAGAAGAACCGTCTGGAGAACAAGGTGGAGGAGCTGCAGGCTTCTGCACGGCATGCGGAGGCTGGAGACCCCAAGGAGACACCGTGGCCCATCGCCTCGACCGTAAGTCATAATCCCTTTATCCAGGGATAGAATGTCACTGATGGACCAGGCTGTGTTTGCAGATGAGCCAACTGTTGTTCTGGAATTATTGTCCTGAAGAATGTTCTATTATACTATATAAATGTAAAGTGTTCATATGAGTTTAATCCAGTGGTCAGTACTGGAGTCTAAACTCCTATTGACATGAGGTGATCCTTAAAAATCCACTTCTGAAATTTCTTGCTCTGACCTCATAGTTTTGTTCTTTGACATCAAGAACTGTTTTTAAAAATTTACTGCACAATTTTTGAACAAATTTAGAGGTTCCTCAAACACCTTGAAAATTTGAAGATTTTAAGTTGAAAGTGTGAATCTCGCCTATGGCACACTGGTATAACCTGCTTTGTGTGGCTATGCTCAGAAGTGGAAGGTAGATGAAAGTGGAGATTGCACATGCGGCAGCTTCATTGCTGTAGCAGATGTTAAGAACAGAATCACAACATTTGTACTCAACCAGCTTCAGACATCTCAGCCTTGTGAATACTATCGTGAACTGGTGAGTTACTCCACCACGTGGTGTGAAGTTCATGGCTCCTGGTGCAATGCATCAAGCACGTTGGATGGCAAGGGCCATAAACTCCATCAAAATCTGGTTATTCCGAACTCAATTCAGCCTGACTGCTCGTGAGGAGAAGGTACTCCGAGATATATGCATTTTTATCGTACGACTGTACACCACAGCTTGGTATACCTGCCCCATTACACCATGTGCACCGAACAACGACCTGTTGTTTCTTCAGCAGCTAATTACATACGACTCGGTGAATCCAGCTCTGTCAAAGGTAGCCGGCAGCAAGATGGCGGGACACCTGTGGTACCTCAGTGAGGAACTCATTGGGCTGGCTTTCTGAGTTTTGAGTCAAAACGAGCAACGTTTAAAAACATAAATGAAAAGGAAGGAGATGATGAACCTGCAAAACGAATCCAAGTCAACCTGAAAAAGTGCACTAACATGAAAACTGAGGGCTTTGTTACCAAACAAACACTGTCATTCTCTCAGCATCTGCAACTGCCTGTTCGCTTCCTGGAGCTTGATGTAGCCTTATGGAGTGAAAACACAGATTGTCAGCATTGCTTGAATGTTGTACATAACATTTGTGTTGCAAATAACACAGCTGAACGGGCAGTTTCACTCGCTGAGGAGTTCAATGCCATACTGACAAAGAAAGTCAAAAAACAATACCTGTTGCAGGTCGTGAAATAGCATCGCAAACGATTGCCTGACTGTTCTAAACATAAGCTTTACAACAACTGACTGCAAAACTATATTGATGCGGATTACGGACTCGATGACTTGCAAGATTCTCAGCAGTATTTAATAGTTTCCAAGTTTGTTTCGTTGTCTTTAGAAATACTGTGTTCAGTTGAATGGAAACAGTTGGTGGAATGGAAAGTGAATGATGTTAAGAGCCGTAGCGCACATTTTCACTAATTTTGACAAATTGTCAGTAACTGACAATAAATTCACTATTTGTGAGCACTGCTTCATATTCATAAAAACTGTTGTACTGTTAAGTTATGTAAAAACAGGTTAAAATGATGTTTAATAGATCTATATTTCACCTTTACTTAGAATTTCAGTATTAACCATAACTTTGTTCTGCTTGAGCAACCCCTAAATAGGCACCAATATCACTCAAACTTTGCAGAAACACTTCTTTTGTTGCCCATGACAGTATTAGAGGGTGAGACCTAAGTAATCTTGCAGTTTTATTTTTGATGCATACTTAAGGACCAACCTAATGAGCAGACATGAGTTAAGTGAACATGCTGAGATCTACAGGGTTGGGAAGACATTTTCAGGAGCGTGTGTGTGGAACGTCCCTCCTGAAGCTTAGACAGACCAGGCAGCTGGGCTATGCAGGTCATCATCGTGGTCCTTTTGGAGTCTGGTTCGTGGTCTAGAACCACATATGTTCCTCATCCTCCACAGCAGGAGGACCCGTGGAAAGGGGAGAGCCAGCCCAGCGACAGGACCAGAGACTGGGTGCTCAGGCAGAAGGTGTCAGACGTGCTGACGGCGGATTCCGGCACTGGCTCTCCAGAGGCTCCAGCAGGGGGCGCTACTCCTGCAGAATCCCAGCATGTGGCCGCTATTGTGAACAGACTGCAGCTCATCGCGACCAAGATCAGGAGCATGGTGAACAGGTGCGTGGGCAAGGATGCTTTGGCAAATGACGACTGGTAACGTCACTGCCAAAATAAATCTGGGCTAAGAATAACTGTCAGTAACGTCACTTATTAACAATTAATTGCTTTTTATTGACTCTATTGTAATGCCCCAAATTAGATGACCATGAAATCAATAATACTAATCTATCATTATACTGTAGTTCCATGCTGCTAACTGTGGTGGGTATAGAGCCACCTAGTGGTACAGTAGGTCCACTGCACCAGGGTTGACAGAGCTGTTTCCTCCAAGGATGCCTGTCGACGAGGTGGACAGCAAGGCACTGGTGTGGCTCCAGGGAAGCGTTCAGAATGTGATCTCGCTGGTGCAACAACTACCTGCCATCCCTCCTGTCCCAGAGGTGAGGCTCCGCTGCATTTTCAAGGTCCTTTGAAGATGGTAGGGGAATTTATTCACCTGTAGGACAGCAGGTGGCAGGGTGGTTAAAGACCAGTTTATAATGGGAGGAGTTGAATGGGATAAAACTATAGATTTTCATACAGATAATGGTTGTACTTATTGATGATGATGATGGTAAGTCAGACTGTAGAGTGTGTCTCAGATAATGCATGTCCCGCCCTCCCGTCGAGAGCAGAGCGCGATGGCCAGTGGTCCGTCCAGCTCGCTGACAGAGCGCCTACTGAGGCAGAACGCTGAGCTCACCGGCTTCGTCAGCCGGCTCACCGAGGAGAAGAACGACCTCCGAAACTCCCTGCTGCGTCTGGAGGAGGAGCAGAGGGTGCACCGACAGAGATGCCTGGGCATGGGGGAGCAGGTATGGGCGTCGCTCATGTCAGTCCAACGGTAAACACGATGGATCTATTGGCTCTGTGTAAAACCGGCGTCCCCTCTCCCGCAGACGTCCCGGAGAGCTATGGACGACCAGGCCGCCCTGAGCGCGCTGCTGTCTTCAGAGCGTGAGGCGTGGGCGCGGGAGAGGAACCGGCTGCAGAAATCCCTGCGGCAGGCAGAGGCAGAGGTGTCCCGGCTGAGGGCCGAAATCCGCACCGATTCCCTCCGAGACGTGGCAGGCCCCGAGGCCGACACCGCCGCCCTAAAGGTCCTCGCGGCATTACACTGTCACACGTTTCATTCAGTACTATGGAACTCTTACCAACCACTGTTTTGTCTCACAGTATTTGACTTCCTTATTGGCTGCTGATTTACTGTGGTAAACTATGCTAGAAAAGGCACTGCTGGTCACATTCCCTTGCTGAGTAACTGTGACATACATACGGAAATGATATCAAAAGCACAACTTTTTTTTTTTTTGATTGCTACAATCTCACATCCTTTTCAATGCCTGAGGGTTTACCGGCTCCTCATTTTACTCTTATTTTCTTCCTCAGAGGATCTACGGAAAGTACCTCCGTGCCGAGAGTTTCCGGAAGGCTCTGATCTATCAGAAGAAATATTTGCTGCTGTTGCTGGGTGGCTTCCAGGAATGTGAGGAGGCCACTCTGTCCCTGATCGCGCGGATGGGGGGCCGGCCACTGCACTCCGGCCTGGAGGCCATATCCCAGCGTCGGAGGGGCTTCACCCGCTTCCGGTCCGCCGTGCGCGTCTCCATCGCGCTCACCAGGTAACCAAACTTAAAGTAGGGCTCGCTCCTAAACGCCCAGCAGGCCGGCTTCGCGGTGCCTCAGGCATCTCCTCATCTGTGCTCTCGCAGGATGAGGTTCCTGGTGAGAAGATGGCAGAGAGCCACCGGGTCGGGGTCCAGCTCCTCGTCCAGCGTCAACAGGAACGGCTTGGCTCAGATTGCAGGTAAAGCAGCTGGAAATCGCATAAATCTGAGGCTGAGAGAGGTTTCTCTGTCCGGGAGAGAGTAACCGAGTACCGCTGTCCTGTCTCAGGAAGCGAGGTTAGAATCGATTCCCCTTTCCTCCATGCCGGAGGGCTTGAAGTCTGCGGAGAGCGCAGGGGAACCAGCCGCGGACGCACCGGACCAGAGTCTCCCAGGTCAGGCCCCCCCATGGGCTGCCGAGATTAGCCATCCGTTCCCCCCAAAGAGGATGAAGGCCTTCACCTCCCCCCCCCCCGGTTATCTGCACGTCTAGGTTCCACACTGTGACCGATGCCGGCACCCTGGCCTGCTCCCACCTGCAGAACTACGACCCGGACAGGGCGCTGACGGACTACATCTCCCGCCTGGAGGCCTTGCAGAGGAGACTGGGCAGCGTGCAGTCCGGTAGGCGCGATGGCGGGGAGCGTGTCGTCACCCCTGCACGTGCTCATGCCTGCACACCAGACACACTCATTATGCTGTCTGTGTGTGATCATACCGTCAGCCCAATGGTCACTGGCACCATCAATGAAGATTAGCAGTATTGATTGTATAATATATAAGACTTCGGGTTTGTTTTAAATCGGTGTTTCCCAACCCAGTCCTCAGGGAGCCTTAGATGGTCCACATTTTTGCTCCCTCCCAGCTCCCTGCACGTGGACCATCTGGGGAACCCTGAAGACCATTTTAGAGAAAATAAATATACCACTCAAAAGAGTTTGTGCTTGAAATATAGGTATACGGCTTGCACACGATGCTTGGCAGAACATTTGAATCATGATGGGTATATGTTACATAATAATTTTGGCTTGTTTTTGCAAAGTGTGCCTTGTGCTGACTGAATTGTATATAATGTAACGTGTTTGCATCTATAAGCAGTCATTTATGCCTCAGACCACGCTTGGGTTGTTATTTAATACATGCGCTTGTTTGTGTGCCCTGCAGTTAATGTCGTCTCCCCCACTGTCCACCCACAGGTTCTTCATGCGCTCAGTTGCACTTCGGGATACGCAGATGAGTCACTTCTCCACACTAAAGCTGGCATGAGAATTCAGTTGCCTTTCTTGCTGATGAGCTGCTGTGTTTCGTTCTTACCGCGTGTGTATCTGTGGGACCAAAACCATCTCGTGTGACATTGTCTTGGGCTTTTTTTTTAATCCTGCCCAGCTTCAACAAAAGAAGAATCGGCTTCTGTGTAAATTAGTCTGCGTATTTGTTGTGCATAAATACAATCAAGCTCTTAAGTGTATATTTGTGGAATGGTAATTTAAAACAATTAATTTATACTGTTTGTACTGTTTTTGTGTGGGTGAGAGAGAAGATGGGGTATGCCTGCTTTTGTGAGAAGACTACTGCAGGTTTTAATGCTTTATGCTTGTTACTATTGTAGCGGTGTGACGGACAGGACAGAAGAAATTTGTAGACATATTTTTGTAAAGGCACAGTAGGAGCTTTGAATTTTAAGGGTATTTTGTCAAAAATGAAAATAAAGATTATTATAACATTTGAAAATGTAGTTTTATATATACATTTTCTTTTTGGATTATGGACTTATAGTCTTTTTTTGTTGTTTTGTCGTTTTTAATGTAATTATTTTATAATAATTATTAATCAATATTATTTCATTATGTCATAGCTGAATGAGTAATGCTAATTTTCAGAACAGTGTTACATTTTTGCAACAGTCATCTCCTAAAATCCTTCCTACCTACCTACCTACCTACCTACCTACCCACCCACCCACCCACCCCCAGATATACCTCACAGTTAAGTGCTTTATCCCCTTGGGCCTCACACTACCACCCTTTCCATAAGACCGGTCTTTTATTTGGCACATTTGAATCCGCCCGTTCACTGGCATACAGACACTTAAAGCATATTGTTAGACATTGCTGTGAGGTTTTCCCTGCCACTAAGAAAAGCCTGACCTTGCAGATTGCACTGACCTGACGCCAAGTGAATACCACTGCAGTGGGACATGTCGCATGAAAAGCTCCTTCAGCGGTTCCCTTAATCCTAGAGAATCACATCTTCTGGTTAATGCATTTAATGCGTGAATTGGTAATTAATCATGTTTAATGTCTTGCATTCAGAAGTCTGAAGTCACGTTAAAATGACACTGGTTATTTAATGATGAGATGCATTAAAAATATTATCTTTTTGCAATGAGCAAAAGGGTAACATTTTCATGCAAATTATAATAAAAGCAGCACTCGACATAGCCTACTTATACTCTAATTTCTGCTTTTTCATTCATTTTTCCCACAGATATCTGCTCCATTTGATAAGTGTACAGGCAGAAATATTTCTTATAACCACAGTGAGATAAAGGCCACATTTCCATTGCTGAGAATCTCAGACGTGACATGAACTCAGTCTTTTTCTTGCCGCCGTTTGTATCTGATGATTGGCTGGTTGGGAGTGTGGATCATCGTTGTGTAGTTCACCGTGGGGAAGTTGCCGTTGACCAGCTCGAAGTTGTACAAACGCAACAACGTTGACCAAATGGTCTTGATCTGAACATAGGCGAAATTCTCCCCGATGCAACGATGGCGACCTGATACATTAACAAAGGAGAACGATGTCAGCCTGGCACAGATGGCCGTAACATCACGGCTGACTTTGAGATGTCATAGTAAAAGCTTACCAGCCCCAAATGGTATGTAGGCAAACTTTTCTCCAGCTGCTGGGTTCTCATGTAGGTAGCGGTCAGGATTGAACTCCATCCTGTCAGTCCAGGTGTCCTTCAGGCGATGGTTCACTGTGGGTGACACACACACCTGGTGCCCAGCAGGGATGGTGTAGCCGGCAGCTGTCTGTAAAAGCACATGCCCTGAAGCTTAAACACAACAGCGGGGCTATCAGCTGGAGCGAGTGCATTTCAGGGGTAAGTATCAATCATCAATTGATGTTCTAGCTGCTTATCCTGGTCAGGGTCACCTGCAGCCTATTCTAGCTACCACAGAACAAAGTGGTAAACCCTGGACAGGAGAAAAAGAACCCCGAGTACTCAAAACATACCTGTGCAGCACAAGGAGAATGCGCGCACGCCACGTGCAGCACAGGGGAGAACGCGCGCACGCCGCGTGCAGCACAGGGGAGAACGCGCGCACTTGATCCACAAACACGGCACAGGCTGCACTCAAACCCCTAACCTGGAGATGTGAGGGAACAACGCTTTGCACTGAGTTACTGTGATGCCCGTAATCACTTCAGATGCAGTACATTATTCTTGAAGCGTGGCCCTGTGAGCTCATACCTGGTAGGACCTTGCCATCCTCATCATGGTCATTATTGGGGGTCTGAGGCGCAGGGTTTCTTTCAAACAGCGGTCCAGAAGAGTCAAGTCCTTCAGCTGCTCAATGGCAAGAAAACAGCCCGTTTAAATCCAGCTGACTGCTGACTTACCCAGAATCCCCAGAAATTAGATCTTTTACTCTGGGTCTATGCAGGGCCCCTCCTGGGACTCAAACTAGCAACATTCTGTAAATGAAGCACCATCAAAAAGGGGGCAAATCCAGTCTCTACAAAGTCCAGAAAGAAGCTGACCTGATCATATTGAAGAGGGGGCAGGTCGTCGCCGCACACAGTCCTCTGCTCCGCATAGCAGCGCTCCTGCAGAGCTCTGTTCCCTGCCAGAAAGAAGCCCAGCCAGGCGCTGGTGGTGGAGGACGTGTGCTGGCCTGCCAGGAGGAGCCCGATCAGCATGCCCACAATCTCGCTGTCGTTCAGGGGCCGCCCGTCCCTGAGGAAAGTAACAGGCGGTTATGCTGCAGCCAAGGGGCTGCCGTCTAGCTTAGTGGGTCAGTGCTTGTGATCAGAAGGTTGTCGGTTCAAATCCCATTGTCGGCCGACTGATTTTTGCATCAGATCCTTCAAGGCCCTTAACCCCAAATTGCTCCAGCGAGTCTGACCATGCTATCTCAATAAATGTATGTTGCTTTGCATAAAAGCAGAATGCAAAGACAAAAAGAAATGCATGTTCATGCACAGTGTCACGGCAGGGCCAGGTACATGAGCTGTTTCAGTCGCTACAGTGTAAATATATACACTGTATATTGTAAATGTATTATAATATAGTTCAAGCATTTTTTTGTTCACCAAATAATTTGAATTAGGATGTTTGTTACTTAGGAAAATAAGACTAGTATGACTACAAGAAATAGTATTTACGTAATTTACATTCACATTGACAGATATCAAATTTATTGGCCAATCATGTAAAGATCTCTAAATATTTTTAAGTATTTTTGTAGGTCTTGTAAGAGCCTCTGCATTACCCATAATTTGGGATGTAGGTACTCGGTACAATAAGTGCTACAGCAGCTATAGTCTTACTTGTAGGTAGCATCCATGAGAGTCTGCAGGATGTCATCCTCTTTCTCTAGGGACGCTCTCCTCTTCTGAATGACCCTGAAGAATATGTTCTTGATCTCGACATGTGCTTTGTCCCTTTGCCTTTTCATTAGTATCAACAGGAAACAAAGGATGAATTAATGAAGGCCTGTTTCGCAAGGAGCAGGTGTATTAATTATGTAATAAGCAGGGCGAGGCTTTATTCTTGATGACATGAGGCACAACACAATTTCACATAAAGGATTGTGTTACTGTTTATCGTGTATTCGTTTTCTTCTCTTGAGTGGTTGGTCTGAGTCTCGCGTGTCACCTGAAGCTGGGCAAGGGCAGCCAGCTGGGAAGGAGCCAAGCAGCGTGGCTGAAGCCCCCATCCAGGTCTGCGTAGAGTTGGGCCACCTTCTCATCCAGCATGGCACGGATCTCCTTCCCGTGGAGACAGTTGCTGGCCGTCAGGATGATCAGTTCCGAAAGGGCCTCAAACAGATCTAGCAGAGGTGAGGGTAAAGATTGGACCTAGGAGCTGACATCTGGTTTAGAAATACACCCCTATCATTTTACAAGATGTCATTCATGAAATAGCAATGGAAGAGTAGTTCAATATGCAATCAAGTTGCTTATTCATTTAGGGTCATGGTGATGTGGACCATACCTCAGAAAAGGTGGGTACACTTCAGTGAAGCCCAGCCCATTGCAGGACACTCATATACTAACGGCAATCAGAAGCCGTTCTCTCATCTAAACCTCGAGTGTTTTTCTTTATAACCGGGCGGTTGAAACGGGAAGTTTTTTTGGAAAACTTACTTCTCTCTCCGCTGTCTCCCCAGCGCGTAAAGTATTCCATGGTCTCTTCTTCGATTATTTTCACATGTTTTTTAAACTGTGCGATATTTAAGCCCGTCTTCAGCATTTTCTTCTGCTCCAGGAAGACCTGAAAGAACAAATATTGCACTTTTAAAGAAAGTTGGAAATATGCATGTCATGGATGAGCCGTAATGGCAATTGCTCCAAGACAAGAAAGCGGTGATCAATACATTATCTGGAAAATAAAACGTCAGAATATGATGGTGACTTTCTGTAGAAAGGGTGTCCCGAACCATTAAAATTAGTGTTTCCCCATTTACTGACACGCACATATTTTTCTTACAGGGTTTGGGACATCGTACGCCACTCCTTTCCCAAACACTGGCGTTGTGAGTCGAGAATAGACATCTTCAGCATTAAGGTCCTCATTCTTGCTGTTGAACATGAGGGTGGCTGCATCGCTGCCCACGAGGTAGGTGAAAGTCTTTCCCACCATGGTGAAACTGAACACAGGGCCATACTTACAAAAAAAAAAATATATTTCAGGAAAGGAAAGTATTGCTATTTCTGCATTATAAGTTTAACACAAGTGTTCATTCAGTATTAGTCACAATGGTTGATAGTGAATTAATAACAATACGATTTTATTATGCGTATATAGATATATAAACACACTCTTACCTTCTCATAGGCATTTTCAAGAAACTCTATAGGACTTTTTCCAAAAGCTATAGCGTGACCCAGGAAGGGAATACTGGATGGAATGACTGGAGGGCATTTCTAAAATATAAAATATGCTAAATTAAAATAAAAACATATTCTGACATATTAACAAGCAAACATTTAGATTGTGCTTCTCCAGTTCTGCAATTATGCAATAAAAACACTGATTGTTTTGCAGTATTCCTAACTACATACATAGGATGAAACAATAAATATTTTACATTGACGTGCATATTGGTTTACAACTTACCACGTCCTTGTCGCACGACTGAAACTGTTTGAATATCAGTTTGGAGAAATAACCCAGACTGAGAACGAACGCTGACGTTACAAGAACCATCGACGTTAGGTTGCTGTCCATCTTTCCGACTGTATTTTCTATTAAAGAGCTACCAGCTTCAAATATATGAATTGCCATATTCACGTCCCTCGTTGGCTTCCTACCAGGAAAGCTCTCAGCTTATAACAGAATATAGCAATTCTGGCAATGTAATAAAATTATTTTTATTCAGCCTGGCTGTTATCCTAATTTCCAAAAAAAAAAAAAAACACTTTCCAGCTACGGTATGAGTTACGGGAATTAAACCTGCAAAGCGAATCCGTCCTGCATCTTTGTCAATCATCCATTCACAGAAGGTAGAAGAATCGGTGCGCAGTTTCTGTTTACCTGAACATTCGTTTGCCCCGCCTTCTGCGCAATTTATTGGCTAATCATCAGTGTCTATCAAATAGTTCCACGTTCCGTGTTGGGAATACGGCCACCTGATTCGCTATCGCACCCTGAACTGATCTCTGACTATATGATGTCATGGCTTCTCCACTCGAACTGCCTACCACGGAGCGCATTGCATTGGCCAGATATAATACATCGGTTATCTCCATGGTATTAAAGTGTGAAAGGTACTGAATTGCAACATTCTATATCGCACAGAGCTGCAACCAGAAATTTATTTCGAGGGGGATTCAAACCCGTATTTTCACTGTATACGTGGCTCCGTACCTGATATGTGAATTAAACTTTTTCAGACTTTGCGATCTATAAGGATTCTTATATTTCAAAGGCGTACAGCGTCTTCCCCTAAAGTGGTGCTTTTCTTAAATGGACGATGTGTGAAGTGGAAAAATGTTTGTGGTCGTTATAGCCTCATGTTACGTTAATGGTTCAATCTGAATGAACGGTCATCTGTATAGCTTCCCTTTTTATGCATTAGGAGCGACCTAAAGACGCTAATTAGCCTAGGAGTGTGAGAAGGAACCGGAAAGCACCTCTTTACTCCAGTTTGCAGTTTCATTTTCGACTTCCCCGCATGCAAATAGATACTTTATTGATCCCCGTGGGGAAATTGTTTTTACACCTCCCTCAACTTGCTCTTTGAAGAGTAAGTTGTCCGAGAAGGGCAGCCACCTGTTGGGGCACCCAGAGAGCTGGGGGTTAAGGGCCATGCTCAAGGACCCACAGACGTCCTAAGGCTGGGTTTGAACCTGCGACCATGGATCGGAGCGGCCGGTAGGCGGCACTATGGACCCCAGATAATATATTTGCTGCACACAGGAGTAGTGGGCAAGTCCCTTATAGGCACATGTGGGACTAGTTCCATAGCCTGTTGCATAGTAACCACAGGACAAGCAGTACAGTTCATCACCTTTATTAAGGCACAAAGCAGCCATGGGACCACATGGTACCCACTAGTGACCACTGCTCTTCTCATCACCACTTGACAGCTTGTGCTTGGAATCTGCCCATTGTGGTCACCAGCTTCACTTCCCCACTGGACACCACAGCCTTGTGGCGGAAGGAGTCCTTGCGTACTGCAGCCCTACCTGAAATGCAAAGTGGGAGGAGTCAGACATGTACAGCTATTCTGGAGAGAAGCCAGGCTGGAGCTCACCTTTCCTGAAGCACCTCTGCTCACAGCTATCAGTGGCTGAAGGGGCACACACAGCTGTGCTACAGTGGAAGAACACCTGCAGAGACCACAGCATGGTCTGCATTATTCCAGATTTACACACAGGCCAACAGCCTTCACTTGCTGCTCCAGTACCTGCCCCTGCAGATGATGCTTGGAGGCTGGGTCCACAAATGCAAACATCTGCACAATGAACCGCTTGTAGTAGGTCGGGAAGGGAAGCCCAGATGAGCCGTCCACAGGAACCAAGGTGGTCAGGTACTTGTCACCTGGGTTGGGGCACCTGCATGCACAGCCATTGTTAGGTAGGATACCACCAAGGCCAATACCCAAGTTCCCCTAGCTTGCCAGTTACCCAGTTTCCAGGAGGCTCCACTGAGGCAGGCTCAGAGGGTCAGGGGTAGGTGTTGCCCAGCAGCTGTCCAGAAGCAGCACAAGGTTGGGGTCTGTCCTACTCAGGAGGCGAACCTCCACATACACAGGCTGCCGCAGCCACTTGGTAACAGGGTAGTCACTGTCCTGGTAGTAGGAGGTATATGCAGCAGCTCCTGCAGATACCAGCAAGGGAATGTCATCCACATACCTACTGTTACAGTAGCAGGTGACCATCCAGCTGTACCATACCTTCATCACACCCCTTAGTGTAACACTGCCCATTTGCCAGCCTCAGCTCTACCCGGAGGGGTCCTGGAACAACCAGGGGAAATGGCATATCTGCTGCGATAGGTTGGTACTCAGCCACCAGGGAGACAACCTCAGTGCCCCAGTACCTGCACTGGAAGAGCAGCCTGCCAGGCAACACCAGGCCATCAGATACAGACACAGGTCAAGTAGGGCTACAGAGCCAAAGACTCCACTCACTCATAGAGGGAGTCCCTTGTGATGGAACCCAGGGGCCCTACACCAACTTCATACGAGGAGGACATCCTGTTCTCATACACTACATAGTCACCATCCACCTAGGATAAGAACCACAGGTAAGCCAAATCCCCACCTCCACACCACATCCTGCTTGTGATGATGCAACAACCCACCTTCACCACAGTGCCACAGGCAGTCACTGGGAAGGTGAATATGGCAAAGGCATCTGTAGTGGCAACAGGGCTGCAAGGGGCAGCTTTTCCTCCCAGCATGGAAATACTGGTCACATCCAGCTGGGGCACAGTGGAATCCTTGGCCACCACAACCACAAACTGACCATCACTGGTGCACTGCATGGTCACTGGGGGAGAAGCATGGCTATTCAATATCCACACATTCAGCCAGGAGGATCAGACATTGGAAAGCATCACAGCCTCACCTGCATTCCCATAGTAACACTGCTGGCCATCAAAACAGCAGTTTATGGCTGCACAAGCATCCTTGCTAATGGCAGGACCTCCACAGGGAACTTTCTCATACACCTGGCATTTATCATAAGCAGCACCCTTAACGGCCAGCTGCTGGGCAAAAGACACGGTAAAAACAACCAGCAGGACGCTAGCCTGAGCCCAAAGCCACCAAACTGCCTCCATGATGAGAATGAACAAGGTAATGAGCGATAAGCTGAATCACTTCTTTAAATACCACCTTGCCACCATTTCCGTTTAAGTTCAGTAATCGGTTTAATTAATAGGTAAACCGCACGAGGTTGCCCGGAACCGACTTGGATCCGATTTCCACCGATGTTTTAATAGATTCCACCCTGTCTACTTAACACGCCATGTAAATGGCTTAAGAAAACGGGTTTTAATGCAGATCACATCTTTTTTTCGCGACAGTGTCGGCGCTGTTTGTGATTATAGCGTTGTTTCCTCCGCCCTCGTCAAAGTTAAGTAATCGGTTATCGGACGGCAATTTTGATATAGTAACGGATATATCGAGTTTCTCTGCATATTTTTTATTCCAGTTTCATCAAGAGAATACGTGACGAATATACTACCCTGGGCGTATCCAGCCCCGACTATTTTAGCCCCGATGCCAATCTTGCTTCAAAAACAAAAACGTCAAGCCCCATGTAAACTTACCCCCTGATCTTCTCAATAACTAGAAACTCCCCTGATTACTACTATTATTACTGCTCAAACCTACTTGGTAAAGTATTAATATTTCCTTACGTTACATATCTGCCAAATCAGCAAACTGCAGGGCGCTACCTGTAAATGAACCTGACAGCATTATCTGTAGATGACATGCTTCTTTCCACCACCAGGGGTCAATAGAGATGCAGTAAGGCCTGTTTATGAGCAGCCGTATAAGGGAATTCCGCTGGGATGCTCAGTTTGCAGTGGAACATTGGTTGTGTCTGAATTCTGGCGTGGCCTTTGTAGGCTGCATCCTTCAAATGTCCATGCAGTGAATCTTGGGTTATGTTGGGCTGCAAAGGATCCAACTAGGAAAAAGAACAATGCATTTATAGACGACGTTTGACGAAGCCTTTGAAATGAGACAGCCTTGTTGCATTGCTGTGACGCATTCACCCCCTCAAATGCAGCCTTAGATGACTCCAGTGGTTGAACTGGGACGTAGCCATCCTGTAACAGGTACATGTAGTTCTGGCAGTCTAATAACAGTCCTATGTTAATGCACACTAATTTCATTTAACATTCATTCAACTCTGCACTTATAAATCAGCAGCCATTTTTATCAGCATTGTTTTCCTTGGTTTTCCTAAAACAAGCACCTGTCTGTTGACGGTGTCTATGGTAACTTAAGGCACCATGACTAATGAGTAGCCAGACTAGATGTTTTATCCCTATAGGGCATATATTTTGAAGAGCACCTGAGAACATTATTAAATGTAAATTAGAATAATTTTCTTCTGCAAAATTAATCGTGACGACTTCATTTTATTAGTACCTTTTATTTGTTAGCTCGGATTTAAGTGGAATAAACCGCTTTGAGGTTCATATAACCATACAGCTTGTTATGGTTTATCATTTACTTAATCATTAGGCTACATGGTCAAAGTACTCCTTGGTGGAAACGTCACATATGGATTGTATTTCTGTTTCTGTATAAGGGTGACAAAATATACTTGATTGGCAAGTTGGGTATTCATATAGGCTACTGTGATCTTGTTTCACATTATCTAGGGATAAGCATATTTGCAGAAAACTAGCATCGTCTATAACTAATATATATATAACTGAATCTGATGTTTTGCAAAGCCTAGCTAAGCTCAAAATAAATAAATCACAGGGCCCTGATGGCATCTTACCTATAGTGTTAAAAGAGATGAGGGATATTATTTGCCGACCCTTAACTTTAATATTCCAGAAATCGTTATCTGCGGGTGTGGTACCTTCTGATTGGAAGCATGCCAACATAACGCCCATTTTCAAAAAAGGGGATAGAAGTAATTTGTCAAACTATAGGCCAATCAGTCTAACTTGTATAACTGGTAAAATTATGGAGGCTATAATCAAAGAGAAAATGGTAGATTACCTGGACTCAAATAACATTTTGAGGGATAGCCAGCATGGATTTAGGAGAGGTAGATCCTGTTTAACAAATCTGTTGGAGTTTTTTGAGGAAGCTACTGATAAGAAGGCCTA